TGGGCCTGCTGGTGGGCACAATTTAAGGGGTTAAAATATTACAAACTACCAGCCAAAAAGTATTTTTAGATGTTTTGTTCATGATTTCAGCAATTCTGTGAGCTGTACTGTACACAGAATACTGTAATGATCTATTTACATTTTTTTTGCCTTGGTCAGTTTTGGTCATATAGCTTTTTCAATAATTTTACAATCTTCTCCTTTCATCATTCTGGACACATTTAGAATGCCTTAATTTTTATTTCTTCTATCTTCTACTGTCCTACTCATTATTTAATTATTTGAATGTGAAGTTACAGAGGACTAGCATTTAATAATTACTGTTGAAATATTATCTGTAATCAAATTTTATGGTTTTATATTATTGAAACCAGTGATTCCAAACTGTTGAATAGTGATTCCAAACTTTTCAACACTACACTGTTAGAAAATAAAGAAAGGACATACATAGCAAAGTTGTATTGAAAGCAAAGACTAGCAAAGACACTGAAATCACAAATAAAATCTGCTTTTAGATAGATATTCAATACGAAATATTCTCTGTGTTAAAAAGGCACAATACAATTTACTTGCTACACAACCGCAACTAACTGGCGCCCATTTGACTAACAGCTTTTAACCTTCAAACCAAGAGGTGCATCTTGCCTAAGACAACAGACATCATTTTTACAAAACATATAGAACTACCAAAGCAGCAGTGTAGCCATAAAATATTCACTATGATCATACCGTAGCTAAAATAACCAAGTTTAGTCAGACAAAATAACTTCAAGAGCAATTCATTATGATTTTTTTGCCTTAAAATAATGAATACATAAATACATTTGTCCTAAAATACTGTAGATTTTGCTTTTTTTTAGAATAAAGTTGTTTTCAACATATAGCTCATCTGAAAATGCGTGTTTAGGCTCGAAATACTCACAAGACTCTAACAATCACAAAAATGGGCACAACTTTTCTGTAAGGGGGGAATTCATGGCTAATGTTTGGTGAAATGGGCAGAATTTCCCGCTTGTGTGAATGAGGCTCTGTTGTCTGCTTGAGGTGAATGAATCCCCCCTCCCACTCACCGAAACCACGGACACGGCGGCTGTCGGCTTCACTGTCCAGAGCCGTTGTATGAGGAGCCTGGCCTTTTCCTATTTCCCCATTATGAACAACTAGGACTGCATAACGCCAGAGGGCGCCCGCGAGCGAGTCCTCAATGAATCTCAATGAACGGACGTGAGTGGAGCTGAACGGCTTAAAACGACAAGTTAAATAGTTTTAACAGAGCCTTCCTTTAATTTTAGAAAGTTTAAGGATGTATTTCACTGAAAAAGTACAGAAAACCTATATGTTTTGGGCAGGAAGGCGACTTTACTGCTGCTGAGTGCTGATTGGTTGGCGAACGGAGCAGCTCGTAGGTGCCGTTTTAAACCCCTGTAACTGGAGTTCGTTCAAAAATATAACAGCGGTATTAAAGTGATTTATGCTGTTCTGTGTTTAGGAAATGAATGTATTAAGTATTTATCAACCATGTTTTTGCTCAAATGCTCCATCTTAACCCTTTAATTTTGGACTTGCTTGGGAGCGTTTGAGACACCCGGAAGACATTACAGAGTGGTAATTCTCCCTTCTTCTGGTCCCCTGATCAGCTCTGGTCAGACGCTGCGAATAAGAAGCCGAACTTTATTCGCCACAAAGGAAGATAGACAAATAGGAAACGGCGAATAGCCACGTCCTGATGACGCGGCGAACAGTGAACAGTCTCCTGACCAGTTTCACTTTGAATGTTTCCTGCTTCTCTTTTTTTAAATACAGGGCTGTTCGTGAGTAAAGTGAAGAAAACAACGAAAATGCAACAATATTTCAGTAAGTAAGCAACCCACTGTCGTGTAGGCTGTGTCCTACCTCACTGTGTTCATTGTGTACACCCTGCAGCAGAAAAAAAACTATTTAAAGTTTCTTTCGGTTTCTCTTGGTGTCTAATAGCCACTAATGATATTTTGTTGTTAATACCTACTGAAAAAAGTGCAGTTTAGTCAGGTTTGAGCAGAGGCATAGCTAGAACTTTTAGTTTGGGAGGGAGGTCAGACCCTGAGATTTTACTGGGGCAGCACACTGCTAAGACAAAAAAAATGAAAGAAAGAAAACAAATAAAATAGCGTTACTGCATTTAAACGACATATAAACTGATTCCTTCTCTGTACAAAGCTAAGCCTGTCCATCATTTCTACATTAATAAAAATTATATCAATATAACTTTAGACAGTAGGCTGAAAGACGAAACTGTGATGACATAACATGTTTTAGTCACTCATGAGGAAATGATGTGTGTGATTCAAATGAATCATGTGCACCACTTCTTTCAATACCCAACGAAAATCCTTTCACATAGACAGACAATAGAAGTTCTTAATGTAGGTTGCAGTCACTACACAGGGTATGCATGAGTCTAATGATTAGAAAACTAGTCAGACAGCACTTTATTAGGTAATGTATTCAACTGTAAAAAGTAATTCGTTAAAATGATCAATTATTATAGGTGACTTATTTTTGATAGTTATCTTACCATCGGATAGACCACTTCACAATGTAGCTCTCAGAGCAGCACTGCTGAAGGGACCCAGTGCGCATACACTTATCTGTTTGGTGAGTAAATTAGCCAATCACAGCAGGATATGCTAATTATTAAGCGTGGCATCATCAGACTCTCATAACTGATTGGTAACTACCCTGATGGCAGATTTCTCCTGAAGAATAATTGATGCTTTACTGCTGATGCCTGACTGTTTGCATAAGTGGGGTGGCCAGAAGGCTGTCCGTGCCTCATTCTTGGGTGGCACTGGCTACACCTCTGTGTTTAAGATCGGTTCCTCAGCCGAACATGTTTTCTTTGTGTCCTTACAGTGCTGCTTTTCATTATGCTGCTACCTCAGCTGTCTCTCTCTTTACAAATCCCATGCCAAGCTCAGTTGGAACAAGGGGTCCAGTATCGTAAAATATTTTGGTATAAGGTCAGTAAGTTACATTGTATGTCAGCAGTAAATAATCAACCAACACAATAACAAACTTGCACTGCATTATTCTGTTTCCAGGTAACAGAGTCTAACTCGGTTGTAGGTCTCGTCATGAAAGACCTCCGCAAAAATACCACATCTCTTTACAAACATGCTAATCACTCGTATCAAATCGGGGACGATTTGTCTTTGCTGCTTCTGTCCGAGCCCAGAGAGAAGAGGGAGACAAAGTGTGAAACTTACCGCTGCTCTGTATGGCCACCTGCAGGTTATCACATTCAGGAGAGTGATTATAGCCTCCCACAAGGTCAGAACTGATGTACCATGCTGTAAAACGTACACTATTTCAGATTTTATCATTTTATCACACTCTGACGCACTGATTTTGTTTTCTCCTGTGTGCAGGTTGCCAAAACAGTTCTGAAATGATGCCAGAATTTGCCAGTCATGCAATGGGCATAAAGATGACCTCTGTGTCACATACTCATATTTTAATTCCAGTTGGAGTTCTATTTGTGGTTCTTCTGTGTTGTTTTGCACTGCTGTACAAACAGAGAGAAAAATACACCAAAGTTTCTGTGTGAACAGCACACATACCTGGACAGTGGGTCCTCAAGACTGGAGCTTGGAGCCCTGATGATTTAGCTTGCTGTTATTTTGTGAAATACATATAAAAAAAACAGTCACACTTTATTTTGAAAGTCCTGTGTAGATTATCTAAAGATGTTGTCTACAGATAACTATCTGATGACACTCAGCAGGGTTAGGGTCAGGTTTAAGATTATGCTTAGGTTGTGGGTTGAAGTTAAAATCTATTAAATTCAGTGTAAAGTGGCATTTAATAGATATTTAGTTGGTTGTTAGTCAAAAACAAGTTGAATGTCTATAAAGAAAAACTGTCTCTGTACATGTTTGAATGAAAGTAAATAAATAAATCAATAACTCAAAGAAAGAATAACTGACTGTTTTGTGTACAGTACTGTGCAACGGCACCTAAGCAAACTGTTTAAACTTATTTATCTTAGCAATAAGTGTGTTCTGCTTGGAAAAACATAATATTCAAACCAACATTAATGCAGGAAGAAAAAACTTATTGTATTCAAAAAAGTTGTTGAACTGGTTAGAAGAACAAAGGTTCTGGATTTCTCTGTAATATATACATATATATATATATATATACAACCCCATTTCCAAAAAAGAAAGTTGGGATGCTGTGCAGAATGTAAATAAAAATAGAATGCGATGATATGCAAATCATGTAAACCATATTTTTAAAGGAAAATACTACAAGGACAACATATCAAATATTGAAACTGAGAAATTTTGTTCTTTTTTGAAAAATATATGCCCATTTTCAATTTGATGCCAACAACATGTTCCAAAAAAGTTGGGACAAACAAAAAAAAACATTTGATATGTTGTCTTTGTGCTATTTTTAATGAAATATTAGCTGTTCAAGGTGAAAATAAGTATTTCATACTTCTATTTATTTGCTGACATATTTTAAACATATTTTTCCCGATTAAACAGTAATTGTGCGTTAAAATGAAATGCACAGAAATGTGTTCACTATAGAGGATGTGAACTTATTTTAACTTAAAAAATTAGTAATTTAACCAGGGTGACCTGGGGCTCAACCTTTGCATATGACTTTGTATTTTCAGTTATATACATATATAAGTGCACGTTCCATATACAAGAAATGATCTATACCACCTTTATTAGAGAAATAAAAATGGATTTTCCATGATACTTTAGCTGGTTCTCTTTTCAAAAATACATTATTTCTAAAATGATCACAAATAAATATACATCATTTGGAATGGAACTCTTCATTTGTATTTATTCTAATGATATTACATATAAAAGCTTGTGCTAATAAATGCTTACTGCCTAGTTCAATAGCGTGTTAAATCTCATTTTGTGTTTGGACAAGTGGCCTCTGAGTAAAGAGAATGCATTCTGTGTTTCCTTTTTTAGCTATAGATCATAATCTGATGCATAATGCATACTGTTGCACAATTGTGCTCGTAGGACGAAACTTACAACAAAGGAAGTTATTCAAGTGTTTGTAGTTGTTGCTGTCGATTATACAGTCTGACTTTTGTTGTGGGTTGTTGTTGGCAGGAACAGCGATTTACAGCAGTGCTTTTCATTATAAGTTTAGGAAACTTATCAGTGCTGCACGGTAAGTGGTTTTCTTTGCTCCAGCACACCTGAAACAGGTGATCTATATAATATATATAATACTCCTACTTGTATGTTGCACACAATATATTTATTTATTATGTATTACCCTTAGCATTTCCACACAACAGACTGTTCACTGTATATTGAATATAACTGCTTACTCTAACAGTACGTAACCTACCATATATATTGTGTTCATATGAATATAATATTCATAGATATATTTGTAATTGTGTATTTATTGTTCATATTTTTATATATTTCGTAGGTAAGTTATATTTATGCCTATTATTGCACATTTGCACTGTCTATTTTGCACGATTGCTTTCTGTTAAAGCAGGGGAGTTTGGACTTCCAGTACTGAGACTGAAGAACTTCTAGGTTTAAACAATTAAACCTAAATCTGGTGCATTTGGCCACTAGAGGGGCCTGTTGGGGGGCCAAGGGAATACATTTTTTTTGGTGTTTTAATATGGGAGGTCCTTCAGTACATATTGGCTTTCAGTAAAACAACCCACTCACATTATTTAACACCACCAAATTGTCTATGGGTGCTAAAATGACAGTGAATATATGAACAAAATGTAGTTTCCTTCTTCTAATCTACCCTTTTTTTTGCTATCACAAAGAAAGGTCACCTCGGGACATCTCGCATATGAGAAAATCTCAAGATGCATGAAGGATTTTGGGGTAAGTTAACAGCTGAACAGCAGTATTTCGTCTGGTAAGCAGTGACTTTTAGTGTACACTTATTGTGTACAGTAAAAGTCTTACCATGTACAGAAAAATGTAATTGTGCTAATCATGTTATTTTTTCTATTATGTAACATATTTATTTAGTACTGACATATCTAACATCAACAGAAAACCATGTTCAAGGAGGAACTCCTGTCTTAGGTTGTACTAATACTGTAAAGTTGAACTTTTCCAGAAACAAGAGGGGGACTGTTCATATATAGCTAGACTGTGCGGTCAAATCGGGAATTTCTTCACAACTCAGGCTCCAGGCTCCATTCACAGAATGACAAACTAGTCTGCCTGTAATTTATTAGTTTATGAAAAAATAAGGAAGGATGAGATTCTAAGGAAGCAATACTGAAATATGCAAGTTCCCTTCTACTTTTGGGGAATTTGTTCAAAACAAAACTATCATTAAACAACAGGAGCTACCACAATAAACCTGTAACCACTATTTCAGTATTTAATTTATATTCAATATTTTGCAAGAATTCATTGTGTGCACACTCACTATGCATATATATGTTCACAGACAGGCACATGCAAAAGTTTGGGCATCCCGGTCAAATGACTTTTTGTTGAAGTGAAAATAAGTTAATTTCATATTACAATTTACAATTTGTATTTATTGGCTGAGTTTAATATATTTGAAACATATTTTTCCCAATTAAACAGTAATTGTGCATTAAAATGAAAGAAGTGTGTTCTCTGTAGGATGGATACTGACCAGGGTGTTCACTGGTCTAACAAACTCAATAATGTACTGATCAACACTGTTTTATTTTTTTCTTTAAAAACGCATATAAACAAAGTGGTAGTGGTCAATAGTGGTCAGTGGTCAAATGTCCCCAAAATGAAGATCCAAAGAGCAACTTCACAGTTATCTTGAAAAAGTCTTATTCAAATCCTTATTAAAAACATTTGATGTAGCAATTACTTCTTTTCTATTATTTTTAAAAGGTAATGTTGACAGTGGGCCTTTTAACCCAGACATAATCACCTCAGTAGATGATTCTTTTTGTACAAAACTGTCAATTTAGCTGCCGGCAGTAAGTGGAGTATTTCTTCTAAGATTGTTCTAGTAACCGTTTGTTCATAGGTTTATGGGTCTAACATAATCACATCACATAGAAAAGTTTTGAAAATGTTTGTAAGTGCTCTGGCTCTGATAATGAGGAATAATTTCATGAAGTGCACTTCTAAAACTAAAAGTGCCTAAAGTTTTTGGGTTGTATGAGCAGTTATTTGAAAACCTAAATAATATAGATACCTCACATTTTTGGAAGTCTTTTAATCTTTATAAAAAGTTCTTCACAATCGTGCGTCTCATTTACAAAAACTATCATTCGAAGAACCACCCACTGAAAGGTACTTAAAAAGTAAGCCTGTTTGGCATCGCTCCAAAGACCCCTTTTGGTACCTTTATTTTTTAGGGGGGTTTCCATCCGTCTTTCAAAAGTTCTTTGTTCTTTCAATTGTTTGAGTCTAGAGCAGTGGTTTTCAACCTGTGGGCTGCGGTAGTACTGTTTGGTGGCCATGGCCTCTTGTTTGTTCCCTGCAATTTTGTTTAACAATAAGTAGACATTTAACCAAATTTTATTTTAAATATAACTAATTATTTGCAAAAATAGAACATATTTGTTTACATTTTCAGTGCAAGCCAAAGAAAAACATTTCTCTTTTTGTTCGTATGTAATTCCTTCAGTATGAATTAGTGGTTACAAACAGGGTATTTCAAAAAGAAAGATTCTGAGGCTGGGCAATCTACAAATGAAACAGCCACCACATCTCAGACTGAGAAAACCAAGAAAACATAATATAAACCGAAACGAAGAAACACTTTTTGTAGCCAGCTAGGAGTCTTTGTATCCTTTTTTTTTAGGAATTTTCACCCACTCTTCCTTGCAGAGCGTTTTCATTTATGTGATATTCTTGGACTGTCTTGCGTGCACAGCATGTTTAAGATCTACCCTCTTTTCAATGATGTTCAAGTCAGGGACCATGTGGACAATTCCAAAAGCTTCAGCTTGCATTTTCTGAAGTAGTTCATGGTGGATTTTAAGGTATGTTTTGGATCATTGTCCTGTTCAGAAGCCAGCCTCTTTTCAGTTTCACTTTCTTGATTGTGTCACATTTGCTTCCAGAATTTTTGGATATTTAGTGGAATCTATTCCACCATCTACTCAATAAATTGTTTGTGACACTGGCTGCCACACAACCCCGAAGTGTAATAGATCTGTCCCATACTTAACAGTTAGCAAGGTGTTCTTTTCTTCAAATGCTTCTCCTTTTACCTTATACTTTTGGTGATCATGGCCCAAAAGTTTCATTTTTACTTCATCAGCCCACAGCACGTGTTTGTAAAATGGCTCTGGCTTTTCTAGTTGTCACACTTCAGAGGTTGACTTTTGAGAATGACAGAATTATGGTTTCCTTCTGATGACTCTTCCATGCATTTGATGCTAGTGTGAGCATCACTGGTTAAGGTTAAGTGTCAGCTTAACCTTTCTGCAGGTCCTTTGCTGTGGGAGTTTTGCTTTACCTTGCTGGCCAGCATATAAGCAGTACTATCTGAGTTTTCTTGGCCTTCATGTTCAAAGGTTTGAAGAGTCAGAGAATTGTATTATGTTCTGGAATTGTCATCAGCTGACAATTCCTAATGACAATTCTTGGCCTGCCTAACTAGTCCTAATTGGTCAGTGAGTACCTAGCAAGTTAAATACGTCCTGAGACTTCACAACTGGACAGATGTGCACATGTTAGCGCACGGTACGGTTTCTTAAAGTTATCAAAAATGAAGTCAATGAGTACTTACATTTGCAGAAAAAGCTGTGATTTTTTTTAAATACTCAAAAAAATTAGCATTAAGTACAGATTGTACTTAATTCTTTTTCTCTTCAAAAATTAATTCTCTTCAAAAATCAATTCTGTTCAAAAATCAGTTCTCTTCGAAAAATTGACAAAATATGTCATTTGGCCAAGGGTGCCAAAAACTTTGCATACAAATGTAAGTTGCCTGATGCCTGAGACATTATTTTATGATATTCAGGCATGTGAAGGTTCGCTGTTCATATTGGATAACAAATAAAAATGCTGTATTTGTGTTGTACACATTGGGACATCTAATTCCAAATACCACCATTGTAAACTGCAGTTGCATTGTTTTCATTAATTAAAAATAACTCAACCTATGTAGGGAAAAGGGAGCTATTTGATATTCTGCCTTAAACAGTTTGCAGCAGTGTTGCATCACCTGACCCGAATTCATCAGGTTCTGCTCGAGAATAAAACTGCTGTTTGACTGTTTCTGCTGTAAAACATGAACTTCCAATGCCTTGGCAACGGACAATAACAGATTTTGTGATAAAACCTATGTAGAGTTCCGAATGTGCTATGTGTTAAGAATAACTCACAACAGTCAGCTTGTTTTTTTAAAGGATGTTGTTTATCTTTTTTCAAACAAACTTTTCATATATACCATCTTTAAAATAAACACCATCAATGGTTATATATTAGCCATTTTAAGATCAGCGTACAAAAAGACATACTTGAAAGAAGAACAACTTCCTTACAAAGACTGAAGTTCCTCCTAAGGCCTGAGTAGACTGATAAATCAAAATGATGTAACACTCATTCATCTCAGTCTTAGTAAACTCCCTTGAGGGATGTTTGAACTGAACAGTCTCCTCAGTAGTGGCTGTGTTCACAAGTGATAATCTTAGCATCTGTGTTATACGGGACTCATGCATGTGTTTCATGACAAGTTACATACATGCCATAAAAGGCAAACCATAGCTACCCATATTATAGTCAAAATTGTAAGATATTGTTATTGGGATATGGTGAATTGTTTGCTAAGTTTAGGAGAAGGCAGTCTGATTATCAGAGCAGCAGTGGACTGAAGCAGGTGATGAGAGCCAAAATAATGTTTGAAGTTTATAACTTTGTTTAAATAGGTACATTTTTCATGAAACATATCAACAAAAGAATCACATGAAGAAATCAATCAACAGCAAGGAACAGTGTGGATTAAATAAAGTGCCTATGTGCTAATCAATATGCATTCTAAATGTATTCTAATTGTATCTTGAATACAATACTTTTTATGCATTGTAACTGAATTTGTTATTGAATCCATTTAGGACAGTGTGTTCAGTATTCAGCCATCACTACCTTTTCAAAGCATCGTTCTCATCCCTGACTGTGAAGAACTGTGAATAGGTTTCTCTAGAACAAAAAAAAATATGCTAGAATTCCCCTTTAAGAATGTACACAGAAAGGTTTCGTAATAATGGCTCATGCAGTTTCTGTGAAACACAACCTGATTTCAGTGAAATGCAGCAGCTCATGTAGAACTGAAAAGAAGTTGTGGTCAGTCATTCAGTTAGTGCTTTTTTTAAACTCACCTTCTGCTTTCTTTGTTTATACATATTGAAAGTTAGTTACTAACACCTACAGGAGGGGCTCCTGACCTGAGGCCCCCTGCTCTGCACAATTTAGTGTTTCACTTCTGGAATATCACTCACTTCAACTAATGAAGAAGTGAATAAGCTGATTAGTTTGATCAGGTGTGCTGAAGCAGGAAAAACACTAGGGCAGGGCCTCCTGGACCAGGGATAAAAAACACTGAACTAAAGTATGTGCAGTGGTGTGTGTCATTTAGGGTTGCTGTTGTCTTTTTGTCTTTTTGGTAGTATTTAATAAGTGAAAGTTAAAGGAAAAGTTCACAGGATTTTGTAAATTTTCACATAATTCAGTTGCTAAGATTATAAGTGAACAAAGTCATTCTGAGTGGTTTGATATGAAATGGCTCATTGTAGAGAAGATGATTCCTATTTTTTTATAGTGGTGGTGATAGGAACTAGGGGCATGCCCAATCTCAAAACATAGTGCACGGTTTTGCTACGGTTACTGGGTTGATCAACATATTTTGTCGAATTGGTGCGAAACGGTGTGCAAAGGGCTTTGAGGTACCTTGTCTCTCATTTGATGGGTGTGTCAGAGGTGTTACCCAATCAGCAGCAATGTGTATATAGACTCTGCCATATTTAAAAAGGCAGTGCACACAATGGATTCTAATGAAGTCCTTTACAAATGAGGCCGCTGCAGCTTGGTGTACGCAACAGTTGAAGACATTAGAATATTTATATAAAGTATTAAACACATATTTAAACCCATTTCATCAGGCTCTGAAAATTCTTTGAAAAGAACCCTGGGAGTCATCATGCAGGCCAGCCCACCCCAAACTCGACATAAAGTGGGGAAGTGAACTTCGTAGATGGGCCAATCTACAGGCCATTCTACAGAACACTCTGCATCCACTTTTCTATCTTTCCATAGGTGTCACTGGTGTTACCAATCCTCTTTGGTGTTACATATGAGAAAGGTAACACCAGAGACATTTTGATGAAAAATGCATTTTACAGAATGGCTGCCACAGAGCATCAAACCACATGTCATCAATCATGGAATATCCACTAAAATATGTAATTTAATCCATTTGTATTCTATTTTTTCACAGTTGTCCAAGAATAAAGTGTGCCACATCAGTGACGTCAACTAAAAGCTTCATATAAAATCATGAGCTAAACGAGAAAATTTCTGATAACTGAAAAGGCACAGTGGACTTACCATGTGCTTTTTTCATGGATCCTCAGAAAATAAGTAAAAGGAAGTCAAGTGATGTCATCAGTGTGATTTCTAAAGTATTCAGTAGTATTCTAAAACTTCCATGGTGATACTAAACAATAGCAATCAACCAGAAAGCTGAAATCACATAAACACAACAAACACTGCAGAACCTTCATCAGATAAGATGATAAAATTAAGTTATAATCAGAGGGTTGAGATGCACAATGATCAGGACAAACAACACAACAAACTTCAAAACCTAAAATTAATTATTGTGGGTAAAAGCATATTGCCACAAAGGACATGAAACATGGTTATGGTCCATTTATGTCTTACTTTTACTGTTAGACATTTGCTTTGCCATTTTCACAACTCACATGCCAGCTTTTATTGTAGAAGAGTTTTGTAATGCCAAATTCACAGAAAACCGATGACGACAACGTTGTTTACCATTTGTTTTCAGCTTTGAATGGGTAGAAAATTACATACTATAAGAGACAAATGTTCCTTTAAATGTCCCAGTTACATCTTTTAACCGCAACTGGCACTTCGATTCCAAAAACGGGCATGTGATAACAAACTGACAGGTTTAAACAAATGTAAGAAATTGTTGTGTCAGCCAGTACCAGGTTGGATAATATTGCAGCCAGATTCACACAGTCATGCTGAATTTGATACTCTAATCTCTGGAGTCTGATGTTAGCTTCTTATTCTAATTTCTGTTCCACCTTAAATATTGCAGCAATTGCAAATGCAGTTATAGCACCCGTCCAACCGTCTGAACATAACTGCTGCATCATAAAAGGCAGAAAGGGGAGAGAATGAGAAGCTAACTTCACCTTCATCATGTCACATCAAGCATCTCTGAATGACCTTGTTTACATCTTAATGTTTATGCAGATAATTCTTTAAAATGCGTAAAAAGTTCCAGAAGGAGTTCTTTGCATTATGCCATAGAAGAAACATTTTTGGTTCTCTAAAAAAAACTTTCAGTGTATGTTTTTTTTTCTTTCTAATTGAAATGTATGAGTGTGAAAAACCTGTTTAAAGTTGAAAGAACCTCCACATAATGGAAAGGTTCAAGTTAGAACATCTAAACTGGTAAAGCACCTTTGTATTATGTGATGGTTCTTTAAGCCTTTAAAAGGTCCTTCACACTCACAAATCTTTTTTTTTCAAACATTGTTCTTTAGGGAACCAAAAGTGGTTATTCCTTGGCATCTCTCAAGTTTTAAATAATCTATGGAAATCCCTCTTCAAGGGCTTCATCATCTCTCCTGTGTATTAAATGTCTGTTTTGTTGTTATATTTTAGCATGGCTTATGGTGCTTGCTTTGCACTCTGGGATAGTGGAGTGTGGCGACTCTGTCCGGGCAAGCTGCAATGATGATGTTACACTGCCCTGTGCAGTAAGGGAACAACAAAACAAGTATCGGTACATTGTCTGGTATAGGCAGAACATTGCCATCATTAAAAGGAAGAACAATGAGGTGACATTTTATAACAAGTCCTCTCCTGCATCTCTGGGAGTACGCGAGGCCCTGGTGTTGCAGCAAGTGCAGCCCAATGACTCTGGACAATACCAGTGTTTCTTGGCTGCAGATATTGGTGAGAAAGACGCAGAATCGTATGTCTCACTCAATGTGTCAGGTATGTGAGCTCTCCATTATTGTGTCCCAGATCTAATCCCTGAGTTAATGCACCAAATCCAGTCAAGCAGCTGAACAATGCAATTTAATTAATTAAGTGGTATTGCTCTTGTTTATTATTATGTATTAGGTTTATTTCATATTTATTCTGCCTCCATGACTGTACATGCATAGACATTACAGGTTTCTGGATTGACCTGTAATGTTAACATATTAGAAATAATAATCACATTCTCTGTTTTTCAGAGTGTGCGACTGTGCATCCAACCTGGCCCACCACACCAAACCAGTGCCTTTTTGAAGTGGTGGAAATTCCTGCTCTCTGGGCCGTGCTGCCGTTTATTCTTCTCTGTCTGGTTAAAGTCGGCATTTGCTTCATAACTATTCTTGTAAGTACAGCCTAGCCGCTCACTTCATCTGTGGTCAGTTTCTGTGGCTCTGTGGTCAGTTTATTATTAGTTTCTGACCTATTTTAGTTTGGATTTTTCGGATGGTGCCCTACTTAGCAGTGATACTGGCATATGTAAAAACCCCGGCAATACTGCTGTGCCTGCTCTGTTTATACCATGTTATTGTTCACACCCTTTACCATGACACCAGCATTAGTGGGTGTACGTATAGGTGCTAAGTGACAAATGTGTGTGTGTGCAAAACTGTGCCAGTGGCAGAGACTACCCTTTATTTATTTATTGTCCAGTCAAAACAGCCATTGAGTACAATTTTTTAGCACCAGAAAAAGAGGGAAATCCTTTATTTAACAGACAATGAAACGGAAGCATCAATAACTAAATAAAGGTTTTTTTTCACTCAATATTTCATGTGTTCAGCCTTTGCCTTTATTGTGGCTTCCCCTCTTTTCGTAAGACTTACTTTCAGTTTTCCAAAGAAATCTGCAGAGATGTCTTTTAGGGTTGCAGGGATGTCCAAGTAATCCAAAACACGTTCGATAATAATAATAATAACAACATTTTTTTATCATATAACACCTTTCATACATATATTGAAACCCAAAACTCTTCATGAAAGTTTTAAAAACAAAGATGAAATAATAATAAAAGTAATCACACAAACACAAGTGTAGCAGGAAAATGATGAAATAAATGATGAGTTGCCTTCTCACAGTAGAAGAATGAACAGCGACATTAGTTTTTTTCTGAAGTAAGAGTGAAGCTTGATTTTCTCTTCTGTCTCAAAGATGAAAGCTTTAAGTGCTGTTTATGTGAAGGGAACAGTTTTGGTGGTCTACCATGTCTAGCACAGTTGTTAGGAGTTTCACGTTTAACAATATTTGAACTCCAGCTTTGAGCATCTTATCTCTTTATCTAATCTCTTCAGAATTTTCTCCCGAAAACTGGATAAACTTGTATGTAAGGTCTGAGAGAATGTGGTTCAAATTATTAAAAATGTTTCTATGATACCAAAATTGCAAAAGTGCACCAAGCATGGTTTAAATATTCTGAAGAGTAGTGTTAAACTGGCACTCAGTCTCGTCTCGGTCTTAAAAACATTTGGACATGGTCTTGTCTCGGGGTAAGGTGGACTCGGAAAGAATGTGATGCCTCTACCTGAAAACTGAATTATTACTGAATTTCAGCAAACCCAGAATAAACAGAATAAAACAGTCCTTCCTATAGTATCAGGGGTTCCCAAACTGTTGCAACTGACGGCCCACACAGATGACCACAAAAGTTTCGGCAGATTTAAGTAATCAGATCATCTTTTTTTGACTCACCTAATGAGAAGGTTGATTTAGCAGCTGCTGAGTGCTGGATGTCAGACTGTGGAGAGGAAAGCTGCTGTTTATTCTCCAATCATAGCTTCATTTGAAAGGACACCTGAGCAAACAGCACCAAGCTGTAGTTACTTGTTTTCAGTTCTCACGCAGGTGAAGCCCAGTGCTACATATTCACTGCTGTATTATTTTTGCAGATAAACAACAACATTTGTCATGTTTAAAATGACCTTTGTTTCAGTGTTTGTATTGTAATTAATTTTTGCATAAAAACTGCAGTACCACCACGACCCACTGGGGGCCGCAGCCCACAGGTTGGAAACCAATGTTACAGAGGTGTAAATGAATTTCTGTTTTTTGAGGGTCTCATTTACTATTTCCAGGAAGGCTTAACTGAGTATTACCTGTTTGCTGATGTTCATTGGTTTCAAAGTTCAAACATCCCCTGAGGGCAGATTGGAATGCTATTATTACTGTTTTCATGTAATGATAAAAATAGAGGTAATTTATGTTAATTTGACTTTAGGTGGCGATTCCGAATAAGTTTTGGAGAAGAAAGTGAAAGAGTATAACCTTATCATTGCTTCCAGTCAAAATGCAAGGTTTGACCAAGACTATAATATAATAATAATTTATAATGTTTTAGACCATATATGATTCAATGAAAAATCTTAATCTGGTCTTGGTTTTATCTCTGTCTTGGCCATTCCAGTTCTCAGTCTTGACTCGGACTTGACTGCTGAAAGCCTTGGTCTTGACTCTGACTCGATGTATCCAGGTTGGATGTATTCCGGGCTCGGCCTTGACTCATATTCTGCTCTTGCGGTCTTGACTACAGCATTACTGATGAGCATGCGTGATTGACAGCCCTTAGTCCAAAACTTCCAGCCTCCCAGATTAACCTACTTCAAAAGAAAACACATATTCAGCTTCCCTGGGTCTTTAATAGCCATTTTGACTAAATATTAAATAAATGAAGGGTGGTCTCTGACTTTTGCACAATACTGGATACAGAAAAAAAACTGAGTTGCTAAGTGACAAAGGTGTGTGTGCATAGAAAAACAGACTGAGAACTGAAGAACAACTTTCAACAACTTTTTCCACCAACTTCATTATAACAATCTTATATATTTATATAAGTTTTATGTACTGTATATAAAATTATTCATTATATATATATATATATATATATATGTAATTGTTTTACTGTAATGTATTGAGTTGGACTAAATCAAATGAATGTCATAGGCCCTATTGCCAAAACATTGCAGAAGTCATTTCCCTTTAACATGTTCAGCAATAATAGGAACAACAAGTTGAGTGTTGAAAAGTGTTGACATATGAAACTGCAAAAGGAAACGTGTAACCTATAGCACCCCTGCCTTTTTGTCTATGTAAGTGTTTTTTTGGGGTTTTTTTTTGGCCATATGCACCTTGCTGATCTGACACTTTCATGTTTAGGTATGCCAGAAGATAAGAGGAAGTGGAGATGGTGGTAGAAAGCAAAAACACACAAACCGTACATATTCACAGCAGAGCGACTGCAGTTCACGCAACAGGAAGATCTGAGTTTGCTAATGTGCACCTGCCTGTTCTGTTCTCTCTGTATTTTACATCATTGTATATGCAATTATTTGCTCTTCATAACATCTGCATACACACAGAAATTGTATTTGTCAAATGCTCCTAATTTTTAACTCTGTGTGACAACTCTGCAAAATATATCAGTCATTTCTTAAACTTTTTCATTTTTCAATCATATAATCATAAACATGTCAGTCAAATATAGCATTGTATTACAGTGCTTAGTGTCCAGCGCTACAACAGTGCAAATTTCTACTAGCGCCACAAGAGCTTCTCCCCTGTTACATTAGCATTAAGCTAATGATTTAATGCTACACAGTTCCAACTTATGCAAGGAAACAGGAAGCTTGTAATAGATTTTCAGGTAGCAGATTATTACTTTATATATGTTCCAGTTGTACAGGAAATCTTTAACAGTAAACAAAACTTGAGCAAAATTCTTCTGCCATATTGGCAGGGTTTGTTCTTTAAATGCTTCAAATAGAGCTTGAAGAGATTGTTGTTTCTGTGGTTCTTCAGGCTTGTCCTGCTTAAAAGTGAATCAGATGAGAAGAAGATGTTAAACAGGGATGCCAAACAACAAAATATGCATAAAACTAGTTTTATTGAATGTGAAATATGCTCAGCCACTGAGTTTTGACATATTTCTCTCAGTTACTGCCATATTTTACTTGATTACTGGCATATTTCATACAGTTATTGGTATATCACTCTAGTTTAGGGAACACTGCCAGCCTAGTTTACACTGAGAAGGAAGTCTAAAGTCTTTAAAATAAAATTAGAATGCAAATCGTCTTTTACCTCAGCTAATGTTACTAGCCTGCTCAATTCACATTTTACTTCCCTTCATACCTTTTAGCTGGAAAACAGGAATACCCTGTTTACACCTGGTCACTTTATGTGACTAGTATCAGGTTTGTATGCTGATAAGATTTTAGCCACATGCATTTACACCTACTGGTCAAATGTGCCTCAGGCTACTCAGACTAAAAACTGTTTGCTGTGAGGGTGGAAATATGCAAATTTGCTTGTTATGCAGCAACCAATTACCAAGTGTTTATCCATTCCGCCTCTATCTCTGCAGTTTGTTTTGCACCTTAGTTTCTGTCCATATTGCTATTAAGCATTTTGTCTCGTTCGTTCCCCAATCATGTGTGTCCCCCATCACATGCACAGTGACATACTGCATGGGGACGAGTTTTGGTTGTACTGGGAGGGGTTTTAGTTGTCATATGTCTCTTGGAGAGACGGATGCCTAATTAATTAGTGCTAGTCAGCTTTGCCAATGTATTTAGTGAGTTGACAGGTTTGGCAAAATCAAGGAAAGTAAGTAGGAAAGAAAGATTCATTCAACTAAACTGACTAAATCTTCTAAAATGGTGGATTTCCCATAAGGCACTGTGTCATGATATGATATCATTCAAAAGCTATATATTACTGGATAAGGATAGCCTCTTAGCAGTATGCAGCATAGGGTTGTGTTTTAAGCATTGTACTTCATATGCACACAATCTGTCAATGCAATCGTACTATGGCTTCAGTGTACAAAAAAACGGAAAACACTGCGCTTTCAGGCTCTTTTGTTGAGCAGACCACAAGGGAAAACCACTTCTCAGCAGCGCTGAAATGGCGGACACAACGGCAGAGACAGCCATACACCTCCCCCTCATGGCAAACACGAACACCGCAATGACTAACCCACAGCCAAACACAGCGAGGCACGAGCAACATATCAGCACCTTATTAAGCTATTTAGAGGAAATGTCTCTCCTGTCTCAAGCATGGCGCCTCCTGATAGACTCTGCGCAGTTTAATTCTTATTGTATGTTAGTCAGTTTGTTTGTTTGTTTTTTTTTCCATTTCTAGGGGTCTTGAAAACTGCAGAGGTTACTTTCAGGGAACATATCGAGGGTGAAACAAAATACACAGAGTTCAAAATTTCATTTATAAGTTCCTCTGACAGGCCCTAAGGTAGATGTTGCAGGTTCCAGTAAATTCTATTCAAATACAGAAGGGACATTTAAGGCCTTACTGGTCACATCATAGATTTCCATAGAAATATTCATATAAAAACTTCAAACGTAGAATTTCAAAGCTATTAGCAAAACATAAAACATATAATAAAACCTATATTTTTTTGCATAATACAAGTTCTGATAACACAAAATAGAATAATATATTACCTCTCAAAAACAGGAAACCTGCATTTATTAAGGGACTGAAAAAAACACTAGTATAACTGTTAGGAGTGCGGGAAAAAATCGATTCTTAGATGCATCGCGATGCAGACGTGGACGATTCTGAATCGATTCATAAATGTCAAAAATCGATTTTCTAAATATTTAATTTATAACGTAATGTTGACGGAACGCAAAGGGCGGAACTTGGAAGTGGGTAAATGTGGCGCCCGGACAGTCTGCGGCGGCACATAACAAAAACACAACCGGATGAGCGAGAAATCCGACGGGCTCCCTCTGCATTAAAACCAGGTTAGGTCAGGAGTCACAACACAAATGATAAGAAGAGACATTCTGTCCTTTCAACAAAAATCAAACCACGCTGGGAGCCACAACATTTATGTCCAGTATGTGATAATGTGCTAGTTTAGGCTAAAAAATATAAACGAAAACACAGATTTACTCTGCTCTGCTTTAAGCTTTAGCTATAGCCGCTTTTCTTCCAACTCCGCCACAAAACTTTTCCTCAAAAATTGAATAGTTTCTTGTAAAATGTCTCTCAGCTTTCCGCTGTTTTACGAGGCTGAAGTCGCTTCTCATTCGCCAGCTTCTTGCTGAACTTTCCGGTTCCACCTTAAATTCTGACTGAGGCACCGAATGTAAAAGCGGCACCACTTAAGGTGGAACGGGAAAATTAGAGAAGCGACTTCATCTTCGCAGCTTCGCATCTTTTAGTTAGTGTTTGACAGTCTCTCGTTGCAGATTTAACGTACCAGGAAACCAACTGCGCTGCGTCGTCCCCGCCACATCACTTCCATTTGTTTTATTAATAAAAGATATCGGATGTAAATGCATTATGGATCATTACAAATACTTTGTTTTAAAACTTCCAAGTCCCCAGACAGTAAGAAAATAGAAAGGATGTATAGAAAAAAAAGATGCATCGAGATGCATCGATAATCGTTTTATAATCGCATCGCAGCCTCTGAATCGTAATTGGATCGAATCGCGAGGTGCCTAAAGATTCCCACCCCTAATAACTGTCATCCGAGGTTTAATCAACACTCCAGGAGGTTAAATGCTAGCACTGTTATCCCATGGACTGATTAGTACCTTATCTTCTTCACTTAGGGTGCTCAAAAAAGTTTTATAGACTTAATTTCATCTGATGTTCTGTTTGCTTTCATTTATGTGAAGCATGTTGAATTGCCTTTATGTAGGACACATGCTGCTTAAATAAATTTGCCTTGCAAACTTTCAGTTGTATTGCACCTGTCATTACACATTGCCATTGTCTGTGAAATAGCAATCAAACCAGTAGCTTATTTTAAAACTAAAAGTCTCCATAGGCTTCTTTTAATATGAGGAGAAAGTTGTTGGAAACTTCCTGTGAGAGCAAGCACAAACTACAAAGACCATGAACCTTTGCCACAGGAAAAGGTGTGGCTAATGGTGTAAAAGGTCACAGCCAGCCATTTTTGTGCAGTTCCATGTGGACCGAGGATGGTTTAGACCGTTGTGCCTCTCGGGTGCGTAAATATGCAAGTTTGTTTCTTTACAATAATTAACGCTTTCACTGTAAGTAATTGGTTTAACATTGTCAATCTGTCTTTTTTGTTTATTGTTGCTATATCTGTGTTATTGCTATCATTAGTTGTGTACTCAGTTCTCTTCCATTCTGTGTATTTCCTTGTCGGTGAATCGTGTTCTCACTTCTTTTTTATGTATTGTTTTTGCAGATAATAATCATCCTCAACCTCACACATAGCCTCGTTAGCCTTCGTTGCTCTGCTCTAAGTGAATCTGCTTATTTAATGTCAACAAGTTCAATGCGGAGCAACTACCTGTATCTGGGTCATTCTACAGAAACGTTCACTTTTCTATCTCTCCATAGGTTGCTGGTGTTACCAATCCTCATTGGTGTTACACATAAGAAAGGTAACACCAGTGACCGTAACCCCAGTGACATTTTTGATGAAAAATACATTTTACAAAATGGCTACAGAGCATCAAACCACATGTTGTCAATCATGGAATATCCACTAAAATATGTAATTTAATTCATTTGTATTCTGTTTTTTCACAATTACCTAAGAATAAAGGTCACATCAGTGACGTCAACTAAAAGCTTCATATGAAATCATGAGCTAAATGAGAATTTCTGATATCTGAAAAGACACAGGGGACTTACAGTGTGCTTTTTTTCATAGATCCTCAGAAAATAGGTAAAAGGAAGTCAAGTGATGTCATCAGTGTGTGTGGTGTTTTAAATATTTTTTTGTTACGCAGTAGCATCAGTGACATGACTCCTGGTTACAACTTTCATTAGATATTTTATAATAGTTATTTATTTGGCATTTGTTTTTTCATTTAATATATATATATATATATATATATATACCATGGTCATGTATAGATTTATTGTAGTTAAAATTGCAGATTTTTTTTTTTCCTTCAAAATATGGCACTTATTCTTTACACGTTACTGTGAGGACGTGCATTTCTATGGTGCTTGGAATTCTAGATAATTGATTTAAAAACCGATATTGCTAAATTGATGGCTGAAGGTGTAATTGTTAAAATAACTTTATTTTTATTTGAAAATGTAAAAAAAAAAATGTAACCCTAACATGTTTTTAAGTGTAATATATCTATAAATGCTAGGGACACAAAAATGGACATTTCTGTAGAATGACCCATCTGTCTCCTGTGTTTTAACAGACACACTTTCATGTTAGCTTGCCTCCAGCTATAGCACCCTGTTATACCACAACTATTTCATAATGGTATTGTTGTCCGCTGTGGCGTCCATCTATTAAAATAAGTAGAAAATGTGAATAAATGTAGAGAGGATGTGGACAACTACACATTACTTTGTGTAGCATGTCTGAATGAAATGGCCTGCTGATAGATTTTGCTCCAGCCTCTGACAAATAGACTCCAATATCTGCTGCACCCTTGTTCTAATAAGCTGCCTTGAATGCTTCCTTCTATAGTTGACATCATGTTTTGTGTCCAGTGCTCCTCAGCTGATGCAGTTTTTCCTTTGACTGTTCTTCCTCTTGACTGAGAGCAATGTGACCCTTTTTTTGCCATAAGATTGTCTTCTTCTTTCCTATTAACACAGAGCAGAGATGCGTAGTCTAAACCAGTCCAGTGTAACAAATTGCCTAAAATAGCTGACCGCAGCACATTTAAAATTAAATAGTTTGCAATGAGCCATACTATGCCCTAAACAATGAAAAGTCTGCACGACCTTAATGAAGACCAGGAGCCTCATTTATAAAAGATTAGCATGAACGGATTTGACCTTAAACAATTCATACACGGAAAAATCACATTTAAGTGACTTAACCTGATTTTGGTGTAAAAATGTGTGTAGACTGACCCATGCCTGACCTGATGTACAAACTGTTGGAAAGTAGGAAATACCAATTTACCTACTTGTACATTTCACTTTGACAAAGCTGTGTTTACATACTTGTACATTTCACTTTGACAAAGCTGTGTTTACATACTTGTACATTTCACTTTGACAAAGTGTGAAAACTGGGGATTCCACCACACACTCACACACACACACACAGTAAAATTGAAAGCATGTGAAGTGAATGCTTTCTCTAGACCTTTACAGGCGTAGTGTGTATGAAAACAAAAACACTGTCCTTGAGTTTTGTGTGAAAGCAGCAAGAATTCACACAATGTGGAAAGAGTATACAAACCAATGCTATGGTTCACCCAAAATATATTACTAAATGACATTCAAGTGGGATGTTACTGCATTACACTGACCCAGCTCGCATCATCTTCTAGCTCAGCGTGAACTAGTAGCCTCACCAATGAGAAACAAATGAGAAAATCCAACAAATACAGACAGCAGGAATTGGAGAGAACATCACTCATACATGTAAACACAAAATAATTAATTTATTGATTTTACTGTGTAGAACAACCAGTGAACATACACGTCTTCTTAGTTTTTACTTGTAATATTGAGAATGATAAAATCTAAACCTATGTTTTCTTTTGGTACTTTCTTTTCTTTTTCTTGGTTACTGCTTATTTTTCAGTTTCTTTTGCTCTGTTTGTTAATTTTGACATCTTTTCATTTTAATCTAAGCACAAAGCACTGTCTCTAATTCTTGTGCTCTTTATACACTTTGAATGGCCTTTACCTCTGAAATGTGCTTTATAAATAAACTTGCCTTGGCTTGTTGTCTTATTTTGCCTTACAAAGTCCTGCAGGTAGCCAAAACCTTAAAACTACGATAAAACAGTCTTGGGTCTCACATTCAAAACTGTTTTGTGTAATAGCTTTCTTTGAGAGTTATTGGAGGCATTTTAGAGCTTTATTTAAAATGTTCATTTGAGAGCTACCAGAGGTATTGAACACTTCAGACGTCTGGTTCCTATCATCTCCATTGCTAACAAGTCTGACTCGGTATGTTTTTTCTAGAAAGGCGCACTTCACATCAAACTACACTGAAACGCTTTGTTTACACCTTAACGTCATAATTATTCAGAACTTCTGGAACATCGTTGGATTTCCTCTTTAAGCTGTTGCGATTCCAGTTTGGGTATTCACCGGTTATTTTCTACACGGTTGGCCGGTCAGAGTCTTACTTTGCCTCTGGTAATCATTGTTGTCAGCTGCTTTATGAGCACCGGCCAATGAGAATGCAGTATCCTGACGCAGGCTTGGTTTCGAGGTGCTCGGGCTGGTGCAAAACAGGACGAACTGCAGAAAAAAAGCAAGACCAAAAAAACTGAATATGCAACGACTGGGCATCGCTTTACGTAAGTTGACGGGATGCATCATTACTATGCAACCGTAACAATAACATGTAAATTTAGGCAAGAACGGTTAGCTTTGGTGCAGGAGGGGATTTCCCTGCTGAGACAGCTTGAATGTAAACAACAAAAGCGAAAGATCTCCAACCAGGAACACTGTGTATCTAGAACACAGAGAACATGTTGGTAGCCGTATATAACCGTGTACTGTGTTTAAGCACAAATAGGGTCAGAATATTGAGAATGTGTTGATGTCCACTCATAAACGTCTTATATAACCGAAACTGCAAATAGTGTTTATGAATTGTTTCCCTCAGTGTCCAGTCTGCTTGGTCTGAGCGTATCGGTACATCATGAGAAGCCCGTCAAACGAATACCGTGCCAAGCAAACGTTGAACCCGGTCTGCAGTACCGGAAAATCAGCTGGTACAAGGTTTGTTTATTAAACAGTTTATGGGGTTATAATACGGGCCTTTCAGTACATGTAGACCAGTGCCTACCAGCAGAGTGCAGTATATAGGCTGTTTGTACAAGAACATTCTGGTTCCTGTTTTGATGTGAACAGCCCCGCCCTGTGGAGCATTAGGAGACGTCTGTGCGTTGTCTTCTATAGTTTAGAATTAAAATAATCATATCTGAGATTAAAAGAAGAAGCTTATTGGACGCTTAGACAGGATGTCCCAGCCACAATAATGGAACAGTGTTTCACAACGAGCTAGGTTTAGGTGCTGGATCAGTAGAGCCCATTACCAGAGGACTTCCTGTAATGTCATTTGTAAGGGAGCTGACTGGCTGGACTAATTGTGTGGGATAAAGTCTGTGTAATTTCCCCAGATTACCCCAGAAAGTCCCGATCAAACTGCCACAGCCCACATCACTTTAGGGTTAAGATTAGAATTAAATGGATCCAAACAAACAACAAAGAAGAACATATCAGATTGAATAGCATTAGGCTAACATTAGTAAAGTGTGCTCATTTAATAGCACTCAAGAGGCAGGACAGAAATTGCTCTGCCTTGTAAAAGGCACCTTCAGATATTTCATTTTCATTCTCTGTTCAAATTAGCCCATCACCAAAAATGTTTTAGATCATGATAGTCCTGTTTTGAATTTGAGAAGGAAAAAAAAAAACTTTACTAAGCGCTCCATGTTAGTGGTTAGCCTCATTGCCAAAAACAGGTGAAGGAAAACTACTACTACTGATGGAGCTCCAAGTTTGATCAGTTATAGGTAGAGGTGGAGAAAGTACACAGCTCCTTTACTTGAGTTAAAGTATTGATACTCCTGGTCAAATATTACTCCACTACAGGTGAGAGTTGTGCAGTCAAATTTTACTTAAGTTAAAAGTACTGGAGTACTTGGTTTTAAGAATACTTAAGTATTTTCATTTTAATGTCAACACGCCATAATCACAACCATTCAAAAATGCAGCATGTACTTTGACCTTGACTGACAGTGTAGGAGTAGTTCACTGTGATTGATTTGTCTCCTGTGACAAACGCAGTATGGCGTTCGCGTTTTATAATTTGTCTGCTGACTTTAAAGCTATGATTCAAAGTAAGTAATAACGAGAACCATCACAGAAATGTAGTGGACTCAAAAGTGCAATATTTGTCTTTCAAATGTACTGGAGTACAATTTGACAATGTGCAAAATGTAAATAAAGAAAATGCAATCGTGCAAATCATTAAACCCTATATCTAATTGAAAATAATGCAAGGGCAACATGTCAAATGTTGAAATTGAGATTTTATTGTTTTTTGAAAAATAAATGCCTATTTTGAATTTGATGCAAGTAACACATTCCAAAAAAGTTGGGACAGAACAACAAAAGGCTGGTAAAGTTGTGTAATGCTAAAAAAAAACACCTGGTGGTTAATAGGCAACAGGTCAGTAACATGATTGGGTATAAAAAGAGCATCTCAGAGAGGCAGAGTCTTCACCATTGAGATGAGGAGAGGTTCACCATTCTGTGAAGGACTGCACAATCAAATAGGTTATTCTTGAATTGTTGCACTTTCGTAATGTAAAATAGCAAAGAATTTGAGGATTTCATCATCTACAGTACATAATAACATTGAGCTCATTTAAAATGGATTGAGGGGAAGTGGAAAAGTGTCCTGTGGCCCGACGAATAAACATTTGAAATTCTTTTTGGAAATCATGAACGGTCTTCATGATGGTATAGGGGTGCATTAGTGCACATGGCATGGGTGACATGCACATCTGTAAAGGCACCTATTCATGCTGAAAGATATATACATGCTTTGGCAACATACGCTGCCATCCAGACGACATCTTTTTCAGGGAAAGCCTTGCTTATTTTAGCAAGACAGTGTCAAACCACATTCTGCATGTATTACAACACCATTGCCAAAGCATGTATATATTGTTGCTCCATATTAAAAGGCTGGGTGCTGAATTCAAAATGGCCATATATTTTTCAAAAAACAATACAATTTCTCAGTTTCAACATTTGATATGTTGTCTTTGTAGTATTTTCCTTTAAAAATAAGCATTTACATGATTTGCATATCAATGTTTTACACAGCATCCCAACTTACTTAAGTACAGTCCACCCCTGATTATAGGAGGTACCTTGCTCTGGAATTATTGCTTAGCAGACTTGCAAAAACTACAGATGTTGCAGATTTTATTCATGGATCCCATCTGTGATCACTCAAATTACAGCACCTCCCAGATGAAACTAATCTAGCTCGAATCGGGTTAAAATGATAGATAATTAGGTTTACGAGCTGAATGATTTTGAGTGTTGGTTTTACTTTAGCATTTGTTAAGTATGTTAGGACAAAGCCTGTTTTAAACACTGGTTTATTTTAATGAGAGAATAACACAGCTCTAAAATTTTGTCAGAAGGATTTTAGGTACACCCAGAAATATCGTCTAGCCAGAGTCTTCATCACTGAGGGAGGAATATGAACTGTTTTAATAGCTTTGATTCCACTGATTGTTGTACTTTATTGTATTGTTTACAGGTGAAAGAGGAATCTGATGGATTAATTGGTCTTGTGATCAAAGACTTACATACCCACGAGACAGTCCTCTATAAATTTGCTAATCAGTCCTATGAAGTAGGAGATGATTATTCTCTGGTGCTCCCAGAGTTCAGTGAGAAGGACTGTGGGCATTACCGCTGCACTCTGTGGCCTCCACTGGGGCATTACATCCAGGATGGAGACTTTGAGTTCTATCAGTTTGGTGAGTTTACCTCATTGTCTGGATCAAATTTTTGGTGGATCAAATTTTGGTGATCCCTGCCTGTGTCTGTGCGGCTAATTCTTGTTAAACATAAAGACAGTGGTCTTGTGTCCACTGGCAAATGCAACGTTTCTTTTGTCCATGTACAGTAAAGGAAAAGGCACAATGATGGCAGTTTATAAACATACTAGCGTTTCAAAGTAGTTGAGAATATAATGTCCATGTGGGTAGCTTGTAGCATAAACATGCTTCTTCTGTTTAGATAAAGGAGAACTTCACAAATTTTTCAAAACTTCTACATAATTCAGTCATTGAAGTGTAAACAGATTAATTCAGAGTGGTTTAATGTGAAATATCCAAGATGACCAGTGAACCTACATGTGTCTTTTGATCTTTTATATATAATATTGGCAATGGTAAAGTACAGATAAAGCTGGAAAAAAGTTTTCTTTGGGTACAATTTTGCCTTACAACACCCTGCATGTACCTATCCACCATAAATATTTTGTGGTGTTGTGCGAAGGAAGATCCAGAGAACGCCATATTTTGGTCTTATTGAACAAGGCAGAACAGGCCACTAAAATACAACTAGAATAGGTTCTAGCCATGTAATTTCACTCCATGACAGACAACTAACACTCTTTAACAAAACCCACACCCCAACACTGTGGGGGGGTGTGGAGGGGAAGATAGAGCACGGTGCACCTTTGCATACCATGCCTCCAAAGCCTCCTCTGCAACACAGGAAGTGGAGGCAGCTGCAATATTTTCAAATATGTTTTAGACCAAAACCGGATCTTGAAACTATTATAAATCAGTGTCCCAAGCATAAGGCAACACCTTCTGTAAGCGTTTACATAAGTAGGGGCTTTAAACTCTTTACATGTCTGGTTACTATCCCCACTGCTGTGAACAATTTTGACTCCAAGATTTTCTAGAATGGAGCATTTCAGATCAAGCATGGATAACCTCATTTAATAGGGAATTTGTAGGTTTCAGTGCAGGTTTTTGCATGTAATTTCCCTTAACTTGCCCATTAATAAAACTTTACTAACCATTAAGATAATTCACATGTGAATAACTGGGTTATTTTGAGTCTGTCGATGCACAAATTTGTGTAAATCCATACTTTTGTGTGTGGAACTCGCAGAGCTGATATGCTTTTCTGTTTTATTTGCTTTTTCTTTGCATCCAGGATGTTCCAAACCTCCGCAGCAGAGTAAAACAGTCACAGGTGAGAAGACCTGGCCAAGTGTGAATAATATTCCTCTGTTCCTAATAATCTCAGGCATCCTTGCCTTTGCTAATGTGGCGATTATTTACCTTAGCTGGAAAAGGATAAAATGGAACAAAAAGGCAAAGCAAGTGTATTTTTGTGATTCATTTAAAAGAGATTCAGTCAACTGCAGTGAAGATATTTCAAAATCTTGCTCAGTGTAATGATGCTGGAGGTACTCTGCTGAAGTTTCTGTCTTCATTAAAGACCTTTCGTTTCCTGTGTAGCATATATATAAAAACTAGGCAGTTACTGACACAAAAGCCACACTTTCTATTACTGTTCTATACATGGAACTTCTTTAATGGAAAAAAATTCTTTAGTTGTTTCATAACTTAACAAATCATGGAATGTCTTACAAGAGCACTTTGCTATTAAAAGAATATGTGGTTCTCCTTGTCTTGTCATTTTTGTGATTTTTTTTTTTCCTTTGTGGATTCACTTGGTTTTCACAGTGAGTCAGATATCAACCTTCATTTATTAAAATAACCATGGTATTAATGGTATTAAGTACAAGTTATTCATTTTTCAGGAGATATTTCTTAAGAGACTGGATATAACATAATCCACCTACATAGATTAGATAATAATTACAAAAAATAAGTGGGTGGGGGGAGTTTCCAAAACTAGATTCCAAAAATTATGAAAAAAGTATAGAAAAAATTGGACTTCTAACAACCATGCAAAACCTGGTAGACCACAAAGCCATCAGATAAACAGCACTTAAAGCTTTGATCTTTGAGAGAGAGGAGAAAATCACCCTCCACTCTTGATTCAGATCTGAAAAAATCCACAGGTGTTTCTGTCCATCCTTCCACTGTGAGAAGACAACACAGAACTGTAAGTCTAACAGCATAAAAAAGAAAATGTGTAAGAATCCTCTGGTGTTCTCAGAACAGTGGACTGACCAGCCCAGAGTCCAGACCTCAACGTTGTTAAATTAGTTTGGGATTACTCGGATTGTGAGAAGCAGAAGATGAAACCAATGTCAAAGACTGAACTTTGGAGGAGTAGAAAAATATTTTAGCAGGTTTCTTTAGAAAACTAAAAAAAAAGTCTTAAGTCTTCATATATGTTCATATATTCTTATTGATTCCTCATGTTTACATCACCTTATATGCCTCATCCCAATAAAAGTATCTTCACTCCTTCTGAACGTTTACTGCTGAGGCTTTGTCCCCTCATGAGGCTTTTTCCCCTCAGTTTCCTGTTGTAGTTTGTGTGTTACCAGGAGCTGATTGCTCGACATTTTGCTCCTCCCTCACACACAGTAGTTTGTACCCAAGCTGCAACAAATATGACTGAAGTTAACTGAAGAAGAATGAAACATGAGCACAACGATGCACTGGAGAATACTGAGTAAGCAAATGTTCCCATTTTCAAATCTTTCAAGAATATTTATTGATTCACTTTTTACAAACTTATTTATCAGTTTAAATATGTAGGACATAGCCATAAATTCTACATTGCAGCATATGGAGCTGTCATTCAATATTCTTAAGGATCCGTTAAAAATATTTAAAGAAACAGTTATGTTTGATATTAATATTTGTTGCAGTTACTGTATTTATACATATGTGTGTATTATCTGAACATAAATCTGAAGATTAAAAGTAACAGAAGTAAACTTTATTCTGTCTATACACTTTACTGTATTTATGACAGGAGATCTTCCAGGCATGGTTTAAATGAAGACATGTAGGTTTAACCCTAGATTAGTCTAAGGTTTAAATGATAATTTGTTTTCAAACTTAATGGTATTATAAAAAATGTTAAATTTGTTTATATGTCCACTTAATTTTTTAAAACCCTGAGTACTATTCTTTTATTTTTTTATTTTTTAAATATTTTTTATGATTTTAAATCATTGTAAATGCCATAAATGTGAGAATTTAGAGTTGAGTTGGCTACACTGACTGTGGTTTGTACAGTGCAACGTGCTGATAACTACTGTACAAATAGTTAACATTTGTTTCTGTAAACTGAAAATGGTGTGAAACAATATTTTATGTTTTACCTTATAAACTTTATTGTTTTGGGTATATATGTGTTCATTCCAATTTGATGCCTGCAACATATTCCAAAAACTTTGGGACAGGACCATGTTTACCACTGTGTTACATCATGATCTCTTTTAACAGCTCTTAATAATTATTTATTGACTGAAGGAACAAACTGATACAGTTTTGAAAGTGGAAGTTTTCAATAATACCTAAACGGTGCATACTGATCCCTCATTGTTCTATTTTACATGTTTTCAATGGAAGAGAGGTCTGGACTGTAGCCAGTTCAGTTTAGCACTTGCACTCTTTGATTACCCAGCCATGCTACTGTAACACGTGCAGAAGGTGGTCTGTCATGTTGAAATAAGCATGGACGTCAATGCTTATGTCGTAGAGTAAGCCGTCTTTTACACACAGAGATTTCACCAGATTTGCTGAATCTGTTGATGATATTATGAAAAATAGAAGGTGAAATACCTAAGAAATACCTAGGCCAGGGCTTTCGCGCTATGCTGCACACTGTGGAGCCGAGATTCAGCGTCCAGTCTCGAAAATACCCCCCCACTCTCTACAACGAGACCAAAAGGGTGGCTGTAACGTACTGCGTGGACACCCATTGCCACTGGATCTTATTTCAGGGCAACAGCGCATTTTATCGCAGATGAGTGGCAGCAGCGTCTCTGAATGAGAGCCTTCTAGTTCACTTGCCACATCACTTCCATTTGATTTATTAATAAAAGATATTTTAGATAATTAAAGCAAAGTATTTGTAATGATCCGTAATGCATTTACATGCAGTTTAAATCATGGACATCACTTAATCTGTTACAAAACACATTAACTCACCCAATATGTGTATGTAAAGCATGAATACTCTATTTTATCCTGTAAAATTGTATATAGCAGAAGTGAAAGTTATTTTCTGTTTGGTCTTGGGTACATGTTGCTGTAGTACTATGGTGGGGCCAGGAGTGATTCTTTTAGTGGTAAGACCCTGGCTTTGTAGACTGGTTAACTTCCCTTTTGTGCTCTGCTGACATGGTTTACTCAGAAACAGTTGCATTTTTAATCAGAAATAAAAGTGAAAAGGATGTCATAGCCTATATTTGCTTTCCACTAAAATGGGGTTGTGGTCAAAAAACAGGACAAAATGTCCCTTTGAAGTTAAAAAAGTCCTGTAAACATAATGGCAATATGAAAATGAGCAGTGTATATCTTATCTTTAAAGAACATCTTATTCATTAAAATTTTGTTAAAACAGTAAATAAGTCTGTTCTGAGAGGAAAATTAAGCATTTTCTTTACTATTTCTCCAGTCTTGTATGTTGGCATGTGTACACCTCTGAGTTTCTCCAGAGAAATCCCAGGCGAAGCCATAGTGATCAGACCAAACTGCAACAGTGAAGCCGTCCTGCCCTGTGCTGCCAAATCTTATAGTCATGCATACACCTCCATCATCTGGTACAAGGTAATATCCAAAAGAATCATCTTTGCTAAACTGGTTCAAATTGACAGGTGCTGTATAGATATACAGGACTGTGCAAAAGTCAGAGAGCACACTTCATTTATTTACTTTTTGGTCAAGTACAAGTTATTGACTTCACTAGACATTTCTGTGGTGATAAGTGAAATAACAGCTTCAAGCTTTCAAGACTAGAGTTCAAGACCTGGTAGACCACCAATACAGTTTTTCCCCATCAGATAAACAGCACGTAAAGCTTCTTCATTTTTGAGAGAGAGGAGAAAATCAAGCTCCACTCTTGATTCAGATCTGAAAAAATCCACAAATGTTTCTGTTTGTCCCTCCACTGTGAGAAGACAGCTCAACGTTATGAGTCTGAAAGGATGTGTAGCTGTACAGAAGCTGTTACTGAGAAAAAAAAATAGACAAAAAAGAAGAACATTGTAAATCAAACAAAGAAGCTGCTGGTGTTTTCAGAACAATGTACTGACCAACCCAGAGTCCAGACCTGAATGTCACTGAATGTGTTTGGGAGTCCTTGGTTCATGAGAGGAAGAAAATTCAACCAGCTTCTAAGACTGAACTTTGGAAGTGTGAATAATTTCTTTGCAAATTCCTTTAAAAACTGACAGCAGGTCTCTCAAAAAGAATGGAAGGTGTAATAATGGCAAAGGGTGGACACACTAAATGCTAAAAAATGATATTATATTTAATGACTTATTAATGATTAAGTAAGTAAGGTAACTTGTACCTAATGGCTGTTTTGACTGGAAATTAAACAAAGTGTTTGTTTACATTAAATATTCCCACTGATTTCTCATGTTTACACTATGTTAAATGCCACCTTTTCCATAAGTCATATAGACTGTAAAGGAAATAGATGAAGAGGTGTCTCTGACTTTTGCACAGCAAAAGTCATTCATTCAAGTCATTCATTCAAGTCATTCATTCATTGATCATTTTGAAGTAAATATGTCTCAAATTCTAAACAAAAATTAGTATGTCACATTAAGAATAGTCACTACCAAAACATATTTTTTTCTGCAATTTATTATTTTTTTATGTTTTAATAAAAAAAATGATTTTATGTCTATTCAAAGCTGTGATTGCTAGTCATTTATTCGTTGAATTATGCTCAAAGTTAGTTAAAATTTTTACTCCTGAAACAGTCATTACTGAAATAACTGGTACATTTCGATTGTATTAGTAGGAACAAAATGGAATGTTCAATTTTTTAAAAATAAAATAAACATAATTAAGATATAGAGTCAGTCAAAGCAAAAATATTTTTGTCTAAAGTCAGTTAAAAGTCTAATATGAGTGAAATTGGTATAATGATGTTAATGAACTAAGGAATTAATACAACCACACTGGTGAGGGCAACTGGTTCTAGATCAACTCTCTTATTCTGAGGGGTGTGATACTCATGTACCCCTGCACTTTCTTTCAAACAGGAAACTCTTCATGTCAAAACAAGCCTGCAAGCGCTTTAAATGAAGTCATGCGACATAACATTGTGTTTGATTTTTGATTTTCAGATCTACCAAAGCAAAGAACACGGCATCATCATACACCAAAGAGGGGAATCAACCCCATATTCAAGATACAAAGGAATAGTGTCTCTCACAAAGGACTATTCTCTCGTCCTGAAGAACGTCACTTTGGAACATGCAGGGATGTACAAGTGCCACATTACTGCAAAAGTGGGAGAGAAAAATAACAACTCGCAAATCATGCTCAATACCTCAGGTATGAAAGTATTTCTGCAGGTTGTTGGTAAATAGATGCCTTATTTTGGGTTTTCAGTTATGATTTTTTTTTTACTCAGAGCTATGAATCTGTTCATGAATTAATTTGCTAAACCTTGTTCTTGCATTGCTCCTGAGTTGGTGCTTTCATTTTTTATAGAGTGTATCACGGAGACAACCCCAGCTCCAGTCTTCACAGCTCCTGTGTTGAGTTTTACTCATTCAGCTTCTCATGGAATGAACTCTTCTGAGATCAGTGTGATTCAGCCGGTGGAGGTGACCACCTTGTGGGCCTTTGTGGGTGTCCTAACTGTAGGCCTAACCAAAGTTCTGCTCTGTGCTCTCTGTGTGTGGGTATGTGTTCTTATAGTGCTGGAAAATTTGAAAAGTCTTATGAATAGCATGCAAATTGACCAACGTTACTTCAGTTTTATATTAGCAGTGATGGGCTCTTCACAAGGAATGTGATGTATTGAACTGACTCAGATGCGCATGTGGTATAACCAGCCATAGAATGATGACTGATTTATGGCAGACATTTTGAAGCTAACAGTGAGGCTTAATCTGACATCCTGGTTTTCCCCATATCTACTGTTTTCTCCTTGTTGTTAATATCCAGACTACTGAGTGTTTGCTTATGCTATGAGTAAAATGTGGTTGCACCTTACTTGAGCCCTGAACATAGCAATGGCATAACCATGTTCTAAACAAGTCATGGAAGATATCATATGCTGAGTTATCATGACTGATTATGTCCAGCAGCATAACAGTGTCATGTTACCATTACCATTAACTGTTGACTTATGTAATAATGTTGGTGACACTTTATACCAAAAACGGTTTAGGTTTTTGTTGAGGTTAAGGATTAGGGCCATGGTTAGGATTAGGTACTGGGTAAGGTTGGGTAAGGTTAGCTTTTGCGTAATGGGAGTAAGATATTACCAATACATCTACTTAATGTAAGCAAGATATTAACCTCTATGTATTCAGATGCTTCCCTACTGCTACTTCACTGATATGTTGTTGATGTATTACTGGTACTCTGTTAAGAGTTTATTAATCATCTACAAAGGACCACTCCAAATAAAGTGTTACCATAATGTTTGACATCCTGATGACTATCTAGAGTATACAGCAAAAAAATTAGCATGTGTTATCAGCTGTCTTGATATCAAACATTATGGCATCTATTATGACGATTACTAGCAATATGACACTGCAGTATTCCTGGACAAAATATGTTGAGACATCTCATATGACATCGTCCATGGCATGTTTATGGTATGCTGTTGCTGTTGTTGTTGTTGTTGTTGTTATGATAAATGGTAGAATGCGGCCAAGCTTTGCTAAACGTGCAAGAAATGTCTGCATTTAGCTCTGCAGTCACAGAATCAGTGTTATACAGCAGGGTTCAAGTAATGTGATACCCAAAAGTGAAAGAAAAAGAAACAGAGTTCAAAAACAAAACAGAGACTCATCAGTTTCATGAAGTGAAAATAAGAGTATAAAAATAAACTACCTTGAATGAATGACACTGACAGCATCACAGCTTGAGAACTTTGTAGTATCATGCCTGTTGTAGGTTTTTGTCTGAAGGTTAAGCCACAATTTTAGTGCATTATTAATGGGAAAAGTATGAAACCCAACAGATCAATGCACAAACAATGTTATAGGTGAATAATGAACTACCTAACTCACAAGGTGAGGTAAAATAGTCAAGGAACACCTCTGCAGATTATTATTATCACCAGGAAAAATCTGCATCTACAAGTTACAGTGGTTGTAATACACAATTTAATACATATATTCAGATCTCTAGTGGCATTATTGTAAAAGAAAGAATCTTAGGCCACTTTTGCCTTTTAGAGGATTAAATGAGATTTGACTGATTTCCTAACGCAACAAGCTAGTAACTGCTTACATCGCATCATTGCACAGAGTGTTTGTTGTTGTGGTAACTGGTAGAATTTGCCAGACTCTTGCTTTTAGTTCTACAGTCAAAGAATCATAAAAAAATTTTGCTTTAGAACAATGTGAAGCAAGTGCAGTTCTAGCACTCTACCGCAATGCCAACATGCCTGGTTCTTACATTCAGATGCACCTGAAGACGTTCATTAACCTAATCAGGTGTGTTAGATTAGGATTGGAACTAAACTTGGCAGGGTGGTAGATCACCAGGACTGTGAGCACCCCTGCTTTAGAGTGCCACGCTGTCGGAAATTGTGAACAACAAATGTAGGTGTGAGTAAACATCTAATCTAGCTCACGCCTGTAGTGTCGGAACAGCTTCCTGTCTATTAAAAACAGAAAGGTTTTAAGGTCACCAGTCTCTTATCCACACCCTCAGAAAAACGAAACTGTCACTAGAGCAGTACTCTTCTTGTCACTGGGGTGGCACCCTCAGGGGTACATCTCAGCACCTTTAGTCAGGGAACATAATTGTACCATAACCCATTGAAGTTATATTTTTTAAGTTGTACTGACTCCAAACACCCCGTCTTGTCTCCAGGCTTTTATTTTATTGTTCTGTTTTAAAACATTAGATTCTGAAAATAGATACAATTGAACCTTAAAATCACTGTTGTACATTTGAGGGTACATTCATATTGTTTGCACCTTGATGAAAATGGACCTGCATAGTGCCTTTATTTCTAACAGTGGATTGTGTGGGGAAGAAGAAGTTTAAATGGAATGTATCTGTATTTCATATATGAAATCTGAAGCTAAAACATTTTAATGATTTGACTCTTTTAATGCGAATTGTCACACGTGTCAATTCTTTTAATCAATTTCCAGTCAAAACCACCATTAAGTACACATTTTTTAATTTTCAGTGTCAAGACAAAAAGCAGAAAACTGTGTAGAAAAAAATGGACTGTAACTTACTAAATATAGTATTTAGTGTGTCCTCTGTGTTTGCCTTTATTACAGCTTACATATTTTTCAGGAGACTTATTTTCAGTTCCTCAAAGAAATGTCATTTTTACGTCAGTTCAGTCTTACAAGTTGGTTGCATTTTCTATCTCTCATGATCCAAGTAATCCTAAACACATTCAATGATATTGAGGTCTGGACTCTGGGGAACTCAGTACATTGGGCCTCATTCACCACTGTTCTTAAGAAGTTTCTTCTTAAAACCCACTTAGGCAGTTCTCACTAAGTTTTCACAAAGTTTTCATCGGTGTGTTCTTATTTGGGATTTGTTCTTAGGTAAGAACAGAATCTGCACACACAATAGCACAAAGGTATGAACAATGTGTGGTTTAAGAACATCATGAATCTGACAGACTTTTTCTCAGGACCTTTCTCAAGAACACATTTAGAAAGTATTGAAAAAGAGAACAGCAGCCTGTTTGGTTTACAAATGTTTTTTTTTTTTCTTATTTCCTTTTCTCAGTAACAGCTTCTTGGCAGCTACACTTTTCAGACTCATAGTGTTGAGCTGTCTTCTAACAGTGGAGGCACGGTTTATCTGATGGTGACAGATTTGGTTGTCCACCAGATTTTGGTTGTTTGGAGTCCCTTTTTCTCTACATCTTTCAATAATTTTTTAAACTCTAGTTTGGAAACTTCAGTTTTTTTCACTCATTTTCATTTGACTTTGCCTTTCTTAAGCAAATAGATTATCTTATATATAAACTCCTCAGAAGTATCTGCTGAAAAATGGATTGTACTGAATGAGTATTTTCACTGGAAATTAAGTGAATCAAGGATGGTCTCTAACTTTCGCACCCTACTGTACACTGCTGATTCTGTTACGTGGGCAACATTAAAATAGAAAAGCTGGTGACAATGCATGTGAAAAGCCTACATGTGTCTGGTGTAGCAGGTCATTTGTCATGCAGAAATGTGGTGGCCTGTTTTTTGGGCATTTTATTGCTCTACATGTAAAAATAGACCCTGGATATTTGAAAATATTCCATTGGATAAAAGAGATCAGATATGTAAAACAGTGACTAACAGTGTTAAATATTTCCACACCAGCCCCTAACCCTGATTCCACTGCAAAAATAAAAGTTGCGGTTTCTCTACTGTCTTACATAGTTGACCTTTGCATTTTCCAACCTATGCGGTAAGAAAGGTGCAAAAAAACATTTTCTGTTGTGTAGTCTGAGATCTGTTTTGATGACTAAAATCTTTAACACACCCACTCTAAGATGTTGTAAGAATATCCTGTAACTCTCTGTGAGCAACATTGCAGAGATTAGCATGCATATGCGTTAACTGTTTCTTAAGTCTTTTCTTGTCAATGTCAACATGACGGTTCTTTTAGGCTGAATTTTCCTCTGTTTCATCTGTTTAGATGGGTAGAGTGGGGGTGGCAGTCTGAGATGACTGATACTAATGATAAACGTCTGATGTTTCTGTTTCTAGGCGGTGGTAGCGTTTAAGAAACGCAGAAGAAGGAGCCTATGGAGTTAAAAAAGCATCACAAATAAGAACGGCCACTAAAGCAAATGATGTACATTCCTGCCACAGTGTATAGATTTAACATTAATCACTTTCCAGAGATGCCCAGTAAGACTTTTGTACTGTAACATGAACTTCAAGCTACTGTAGACTAACATCAGGTGCTCTATTAAGCGTACAAAAGGACATAGTTGTTCTTTAAGTAGTTCATTATTCATTTCTTACAGCTAAATACTTTCTTTGTTCTTTATTTATTATTTTGGTTATTTTTTCTTTATTTAAACTTGACTTTTTAAACTTTACAGTTTTTGGCCTTTTCTGAGTAGTATCAACTTTTGGCTATTTATTTTCAACTGTTATTTATGTTTTTTTTTTTTCTTTAAAAATACAATATTTATTCTATCATTTAAGAGTGGATACATTGTATGTTGCATTACAAACTTTGAGAAGAATCCGTTAATAAACTTGTTTTGTCTTTCTATTTGATATATATGTAATTTTAGTGAGAAGTCGTTCATATAATATAATCTAAGAAAAATCAAAAGGTGCCAAAAAGGATTATTTGCATGATGCCATAGAACCTCTTTTGGTTCTCTTTAAAAAAAAAATAAATCAGTGGGTGATTCTTTAGAGAATTGTTTATGTAAATAAGATGAGTGAGTGTTAAGAATCCTTTCACAGTATACATAATAATTGAATCATTTAAAGAAGATCCATGATCCATTAGATTAATATGGAACTTTTATATTATTTGAAGGTTCTTTAAACCCTCTTCACATTCACACATCTCTAAGTGTTTTGGAGATCATGACTATATTGTGAGAATGAGAATTCCATTAAAGTTCCATAGTTACACCTCATTAAACTACACTGATAAGGCCATTTACTCCACTGTCAAGCAGTTTAAACATTATTCAGGTCATAGGCAATTAAAGTTAAAAATGGGAATTTTGATAACTGAGCCTTCCTTTTTTATACAATAGAATATCATGACATTAATTAAATCTCGTGGGGCAATGACAGACATGTCTTTAGCAACTGAGTGTAATAGGACATTCAAAATAACTCAGCTTTGTGATTTTTCCCACTGTAACCTCTCTGGCCTCAAACTTTCCTCCTCTCATCTTTATTTCTTCAGTAGTTCTGGGTTTTTGTGAGCCTAGCTTTGGCTGTTCTACAGATGGCTCTAAAACATAGTGGTAAATGAAACTGAGTTGTGGAGGATAAATAACTTTAGCATATTCTGTTAAATATAGATAAAGCAAATGTAGTATTTATTGTATAACAATTTTCAAAAAGGTTGGGATGCTGTGCAAAATGTAAATAAAAAAGAAATGCATTGATGTGCAAATCATTTACACCCTATATATAATAGTACAAAGTCAACATTTTAAATGTTGAAACAGAGAAATGTTTTGATTGGGTGACAAGTCTGGACTGTAGGCAGGCCAGTTTAGCACCCAATCTCTTTTAATATGGAGCAATGCTGTTGTAATATATGCAGAATGTGGTTTGGCATTGTCTTGCTGAAATAAGCAAGACCTTCCCTGAAAAAGACGACTCCAAAACCTGTATATATTCTTCAGCATTAATGGTCCCTTCACAGATGTGTAAGTCACCCATGCCATGTGCATTAATGCACCCCCATACCCTCACGGATGCTGGCTTTTGAACTGTGTGCTGAAAACAAGATGGATTGTTCCTCTCCTCTTTAGCCTGGAGGACGCAGTGTCTATGATTTGTAAGAAAGAATTTCAAATTTTTGGTTTGTCGGACCACAGAACACTTTTTCACTTCATCTCAGTCCAAATGAGCTAAGGCCCAGAGAAGGCGATGGTGTTTCTGGATCCTGTTTATATATGATTTCTTCTTTCCAAGGTAGATTTTTAACTTGGATTTGTGGATGCAGCAA